ATTTCTGCATCCTTAACATGTAGCACATTGCATTGTGGGTCTGTTGGCATGAAGCAATGTGCCTGTTTTTTTCAGTTACACTGTGAACAACATTGAGTTTGGACTTTAAGGTGCAGATGAAAATATGTGATGACATTATGTCTTTTTGTTGTGCGAATTTATCCAAAGCTTCACTAAGACTTAAGTTGCTCGGTTTATGGCTTTCAGTATGCTGATGTCAACTGTATCTGAGTTGTCAGTATTAATACCAAAACAGTTAATGCAGTTTGCAGCAGAGAAGCCCTTAACTCTTTGATGCCAAACAACTCAATACGTCAGGGTTTATCAGTTTACTGGTTTAGATGAGCAATTGTCTCATCAAACAGTAAAAAATACGTTTTTCCGACCAAGCAAACCATGTCAACTTTAAACTGTTAATCCTTTTTAATACTTGAACCTTCAGACACATATCAGTAACTACTCATCCAACCCCGCTGTACTTTAGACCACCGTTGATGAGGTCCACAATTTGTTCACACAATTGAATAAAACTCTACAACTGTGATCTTTTTCAGAGCAGAAAAGCTAAGAGACCATTTTAGGTTCATAAAATCCTAACTGATCCACTATCAATAGGTATTACTGTAACTTCTTAAACTCCCATCTATTGGCTGCAAAAATCCAGTTTAATTTACAATTTATTTTCACCAGCAACAGTAAATGTATAGGCTAAATAAGCCTCCCCTTGTTTTTTTTAAGTGACTGGTTAAGTGCAAAAATAGAGGAAGCCATAAATGTAAATGGAGACAAATTAGCCAGTCAATTTTAACTTCTTACTCCTGTCATTTGTGGTTTAGAGAGGCTTTTGATCATTTAAATGATAGGATCATTTAAATGATCATTACAACATGTAAGACATGCAGCATAGTGCATTCATAGTACACTGTATATGTGGTGCTTCACTGTTTCAGCAAGTGGCCAGTTGAAAACGTCTGTTGCTCAAGAGCAGAAAAGGAAGTTTCCAGCTTCCTGTTCTTTTACAAATGCTGGAAGATTTATTGTTGAGTATAACAAACATGAGAGCTGAATCACAGGAAGATTGTTTGCAAAAGAAATGTAAATTTATTTGCTGCAATCAGCTCATGCAGAGCTGAATAGAAGGAAAAATACAGAACAGTGACAGCCATCTTTGACTATAACTGAACAGCTGCATGTTTAATGAAAATAGTTTTGCATGTATTTGTGTTCTTTTTTTGCCTCTGTTGCACCATTTGCTTGTGTTCTTGTGACTGACACCAAAGTGTCCCCATTCACAGATCGAGTACTTCTTGCGTAAGCTGACAGAGGCGATGGGGGGCAGCTGGGTGGAGGAACGTTTCGAAGACTACAAACTGAAGCTAAGCTCAAAGCAGCAGTGTCTGAATGCCTGGGAGCTCATCAGCCTGGTGGGGTCAGGTCACTTCAGTAAGGGCATGGACCGCCAGACGCTGTCCATGGGCATCAACGAGGTCTACCAGGAGCTCATCTTAGATGTGCTCAAACAGGTGGGCAACAAGTCTGCCAACACTAAGGCCCTTATCTTAAGTTGCCTTTAGTTTTGGCAGACACTATTCTCTCTTAGCCAGCTGGTTTTGTAGAAAAAAAATAGTTTGGCTGCACCACACTATCACTTTGTTATAGACAGAGGAAAAAAGCCCTGGTTTGTTTGTATTTGTATAAATCAGTCACAGTCATCTTTGGCAGAGCCAAGTGAAGGATGCGACCTGATGTTTCCTCTAAATAATGACAGGAGAAATTGTTTCCGTGAAACATTTGCACGTAGGAATATTGTTACGACCAGCTTGCTAGAGAAAAGGGAAGTAACATAAAACCCAGATGTTGTGAGGTGTTTTAAAGTTATTTATTAACGAAAGTTAAGATTTAACAATAAACACAACAGTGAGGCAAACAAAGTCTAAATGAGTGCTATGAAACGAGCACAAAAGGAGACTCTAGCCTAGAGTTTAAGGTTGCTGTTATGGGGAAAAATAAAGTAAAAATGATCCAACGAACCCAATCTAATAACAAAAATACAATCAGAACAGCACTCAAATGCTAGTGAAGCTAACAGCCAATCTAAGGTGGATACAGTATTCTCAAACACAATCTAGTGCCTCAACAAGTTCAAAAAAGTACAACAATCATAAGACACAAACAGGCACGTGGGTGGGGCTGGCAACAGCTCACTGTCGAATGCTGGTCTGCTGGCATCTTATATCCTCCTGGTGGCTCCTGATTGGTAGATCAGCCTTCTCTAGCGCAGGTGGATGGAATCACATCAGCTCAATCAGTTCCTGCTGCAAAGTAACCTGAGGGCTGAGTGCAGACGCGCGCACACACACACACACACACACACACACACACACATTCACACCTACTGAGGAGAGAGAGGTGGAGTTCCTCAGAATACGGCGGCGGCCGTAACAGATATGAACACTGATTAACCCACGGAAAAAGTAGCAGTGCATCCTTACTGCATCACCAAAATCCTCGGCAAAACTTAGGTTGCTAGATGTTGTTGTTGTTTCCTGTAGTGAACTGGATTTGGAAAAACAGTAAAACATAGAAAGCAGAAGGGAAGGACAAAACCGTCTAAAAAGAGTGGCTTATGTCTCCTGCCAACATCAGGTGAGTCAGACCATGCAGGCACTGATTCAGTATCAAAAGCAGACCTCTTTTTTCTACCCTCGCAAAGACTGCACCGTTTACTCCTGTTTGAGTAGTGCTGCTACAAACTACAGCTGTGTGGGAAAGAAAGAAACTCTATGTTTATGACACATTTTGAAAGATTTGTCTTCAGGAACCAAGGTACTGAATATCTGTTAGAAGTATTGAGAGATGAACAGATTAACAGGCACGTCTGACCTGTTTTTAGATATTGCTCAAACTGTCAGAACTTGTTCCACATTTTAAGTCTCTATGTAGACGTGATCTCATGTCAGAGCTCTGTGAGGTAACACAAGTGTTTCTGTCAGTAATTAGGCAAGAGTGTGCATCAGCTGAGGGTTTACTTGGTTTGCAAAAGTAAATGTGGGTGTAAAGAATTAATTCTAAAAAATAACAAAGAAACTGCAGTGCCAAAATAACCAGAAGGAAATAGCAACCAAATAAAAAACAAACAAGAGGCTCATAAAGTCAAAATGATTGTTTCATTGTGAAATTCACTCATGTCAGAATAGATATTGGCTTCATTCATATCCTCCTTTCTCTCTGCAGGGCTACATGATGAAGAAAGGTCACAAGAGGAAGAACTGGACGGAGCGCTGGTTCATGCTGAAGCCCAGCTTCATCTCCTACTACGTTGGTGAGGACCTGGCTGAAAAGAAAGGAGACATCATGTTGGATGGAAACTGCAGTGTGGAGGCAAGAACATGTGGTTTTTAATAAACGTTGTTGCCTGAATACATCTTCAGTTGTCTCTCAGCTCCCTGCCTTTCATAGTAATTAATGGGCACGAACAGACAACTGACTATTGTTTTAAAAACTTTCCGATTAGCGGAAATTGAGAAGTTTGTTTTGTGAATGTGGAATTTTCCTGTTGGCACTTGGATCAGTGTAGCAGTGTGCCACTGATTAAATTATTGCCACATGCAGCACAGTTGGAAGATCTGGAAGAGCTTTAAGTGGACCTTGACTTGTACACCTCCAATATTCCTGTGTATTTCACTTATTTGCACACATCTTTGCACTTTTCAGCTGGTAAAATCTGTATATATTGTTTTTCAATACAGGCTTTACAAGATAAAGACGGAAAAAAGTGTCTATTCCTCATCAGGTCATCACAAAAAAGCTTTGAAATCAGTGCGTCAGACAAAAAGAAGAAACAGGAATGGATCCAGGGTGAGTGTGAGAAGACTTCACTCAAAACTAAAAATCAAAAGCATTTTTCCTCAAATTACTCATGAGATGACAATTATTGAATTCTTCTGCTGTGTTCCACAATGTGGTGACTTAGGTTATTGAAAGACTCCTTCACTTCTACAGCTGCAAATACACTTTTGTTATACTTTGTTGTTTTACACAAATTTGAAAATACCAAAATTCCCAAAACAAAAACTGAGAAAACAAATCCTTTGTGTACATAAATTTACAAAAAGTGACCAAAAACCTCACCTTTGAATCAAATCACACAATGATTTCTATGTCTCTTCCATGTTGCCTCTCAGCCATCCAGACCTGTGTGAATTTACTACGTCAGGGTCGACCAGCACCGCACCGTGAGGCCCGACAGAAGCGTCGGGATCTGCGACTGAAGCAGCAGGCTGAACAGGAGGAGCTGGAGCTGAGGATGAGGGAGCTGCAGATGGCCAACGAGGTCAAACAGCTCGAACTAGAGAACATGAGGAAGGTGAGGATAAAATGTTCAAAGTAATGTTCTTCTTTGATTTTGTCAGGAAATGTGTGGTTCTTCATTAGTTAGTTTCACCTCACGCAAAATGTAGACATCAATGGATAAAAAACCAACATAATGTGTCTTATGAAGGAGTTGGGCTACCACTTGCCAAGTCTGTGGGCCTCTACGACAGGGAGAGTTAAAAAATATTCCCGAATTTAGTGTCCTGATGATGGTGGCAGAGAGCGCTAACACTGCTATGCGCTGCTCAAAAAGTTTAAGGAAATACTTAAATCATTGGTATACACTGTGCAATTTGTTGAGAACTAAATGACTTAAGTGGAAATGGCAATTATTAAACCCATTGAGGGGGAGATTCACAATCACTTATGCGTCCTACCTGGACAGATCAAAATCCCACAAGATTAGTTGAATTTTTTTGAGCAGTGTATATTTTCACAGACAACTAACAAATTAGGGCAAAAACCTGAAAAAGTAAGTAGATAAAGAGAAGAAAAAGCCCTGTTTGTGTTACTTTAAACCAATTAAAATCCATGTGGGTGGGGCTAAGTGAAAGGCGTTCCCCCAAAATAGTGATGAGTAAAATTGTTTAGGTGAAACATTTGCAAGCAGGAAGACGAGCATTGTGATTAAAATGGATAATCCGCTTCGTAAAAACTAGCAAGGCTGCCTCACTGCACAACCCAAACCCTCAGCAAAGTTTAAAATTTCAGTGTGGTTGGTTGCTGCTTGGAGGCTGTTGTTGTTGTTTCCCATATTGAAGAAAACAGTTACACACAGATAGCGGAAGAAAGAGCAAAGCCACCTACAATGACCAGTGGCTTATACCCACATCCTACATCTGGTGCACCCAACTACACACTGCCTGGTGCAAATAAGCTGTTAACACTGAATCATGCTCTGTGGCATGTGTGAAAATGTTGACCATGTCTAGTTGATTCTGATTTTGTATAAAGATCGCAAGAAGAAAAGATGTAAGTGAAGGATGGTTTATTGTTGAGGCACAGATGGCAGGAGCTTCAGTCACAAAGACTCCCCAAATGGCCAGCTTTGCAATAGGCACAGGGTTGAAAGTGATGTCTGCATTTAGATATGTTTGAAAAACATCAGTGAAGAGGGTCAGAGACACATTCAGTGACTGTGGTGCTCATGCATTAGTACATTACATAAGGAAAAAGAGAAGAGCAACTCCTCCACAGGTGACTAAGCATGTGGATTCATTGTATTTTTCTATTCATTTATCCAGGTTTTTTCTTGTATTAGTCTGTAAATATATACACACACAGTCAGGGTTAGTCAGGGTCACCAACACACACACTTTGACAGTTTTGAAGAGTCAGTGCTAATTAGCATTAGAGCTGTTCTGGCAGCACTTTTAAGACACTATGTTGGTTTTTCCTATAATTCGTCACCTGTCTGTATATACATGCATAAATATACTATATTAAGAAAGTTAAAGTTTGTGGTCATATGAGGCAGGGCTGCATATCTTTGTGAGAAAGACCCTGAAAGTAGGTCATGTAGAGACAAAGGGATGCTAAATAGAAACAAAACATGTAAATGCAAACAAAGTGTGCATATTAGATAGATGGTCCTTAGTCTAGTGTGGTTTCGGTTAAGATTACATCTGCCTCCACTGACTTAACCCTTTCAACACTATAGCCCACTATACCGGTCTGCCACTTTCACCCCGTCAACCCTGCAGACTGCTTTACCAGTCTGCCGCTTTGATGCTACTTTGATTTAAACACATTGCTGCCAAAACATACAAAACCCTCACAAAGATGAGACGCTCATAAAACACCCCACATCTAGACAAACTACACAAAACAGACAGTTGCACTGACATATTAATTTGGATTAAAACAGCTTTTTGCAGTAAATGATAGTAGTAGTAGTAGTAGTAGTAGTAGTAGTAGTAGTAGTAGTAGTAGTAGTAGGGATTGGCTCATTCTAGGATCAACATCAGTAGATAAAGCTGAGCATGTAACTACTACACTGGAGAAACATCAGGTCACGCTTTTCTGTTTTGAAGAACAACCACATAAAAACAATGATAACTATCCAGGAAGTAATTCACTGCATTTGTGAGGGAGTGACTGAAACCTGAGGGATTTCCCCAGAAGGAATTCCTGAACCTGTAAGGCCAACAAGGCAGTGACAACAAAGTCAGACTAAAACAAAGTCCCAGACTTTTAAAATAAAAAATAAAAAAAAACCAGGAAGGACAGGAGGCATTCCTGTTCTGGGATTGAACATGAAGTGCACTGTAGTAAGAGCATGTGCTCCTAAGTGTTTTTAAAGCAGCACAGACAGTGCGTCTTTGCAGATTGGAAAGGAATTTGTGTTTAATGCTGTGTCAGATTTCAATGTCACAGCTTCATCTTTACAGGTGACACAGCTGTTTAGATATACAGCATATGAGTCAACTCATAGAATCTTAATTTTTCTGCTTAGAAGAGTTTTTAGACTTCTTTTGAAGTTGAATCGTACTACATCATCATCAGTCACATCTTAAAACTGAGTCCATCTCAACTCTATCTGCTGACATTGGTTAGCTCTAAGTACGCTCAAGAATATTGATCTTTACATTTCTTTGCTTCATTTTGGTGTGACTATCACACATTAGCCATGTTTACACAAGGTTATTCATTGCATTAAAAAATGTTTTTGAAAACAAAAATGTTTGAAAACACGCCCCCAATTTTGCTTTAACATTTTTATGTTTACGTGAGGTAGCTTTTGACTTCTTGGATGACGAGTTAAAAAATCTTTTCTGAATAGGTTCTGACGTAGCAAACATCAAAAGGCTGATCAGCTGTTTCCCTTTCTTTCGTTGTTTTCATATTCAGATGACATAAAACATAGATGATACCAGTTGACATGAGAGAATAAATACAACTTGCCCAATTGAAAACAATTTATGAAGAGTTTTAATGATTTTAACTGGGTAGTCAATCTTGCTGTGACATCATTGAGGATGTCTTAATTCCTAAAATGCGTCTGTAGGATCTAGGAGGCTGCTAGAGGAGCTATGAGCGAGGATTCAAAGGTGTATTCCTTATGTGGCCTCAATGAAGTCTTTTCAGCACACGTGACATAAAAGAGATGTGACACACAACTGGAATTTACAAACCATGTTGGGAGGAGGACCAATAAACCACAGAAACTCAAATGTTTGAAGCAATGTGTACTTGTATCCGGGTTAGACCGAGAACTTTGTGAAGTTCCACTGTATACATCACTCAATCAGATTATAGTCACTCTTTATTTTTATGGTCCAATTTTGTGTGTTGTGCCTCTTTCATACTCCACAGCATGTGTGTATTAAATAAAAAATCTAAAAGTCCGACATCCGTGCCTTCTCATCACATTGTGTCACATTGTAAATTGAATTAAAAGTAAAAATACAGCCTACTGTAATTCATTATTTATACTGTTCTACTCACCTGACAAAGATAAAATTGGCTGCAACAAAACAACAAACAGGTGATAGAGCTGTGCCACACATCATATTTAACTTATGTCACAGCGTGACAGGGTGTCTCACTGTGTTAAATGCCTTTTGCTTTTCTTCTTTCCTCACCTCACCTACCCTGTTCACATCTCTGGTGGGAGGGACTAAGACGTGATGAGAGGAATCAAGGACGTACTAACTGGAAAATGAGAAGGTGGTGACTGTTTGTCAACTGCTACAAAAAAAACAAAAAAACAAAAAGAAGAAACAAACTAAACTTTTTCCAACTAAGAGAAAAAAATGAAAAAAACTCTTCAGGAATTGTTTTCAGTTGGGAAAGTTGTAATAACTCCTCAGTGTCAGTAAAGGTAGAAACAGCTCATCATTCATGTGTGTTCAATCTCTGCTATATCAGAACTAATGAAGAAAAGCTGTTTCTATCCCCCAGTATGTGCATTGACTTCTTTATAATAAAAATCAAAAACCACCAAATATATAGACATTTTTGCCAAATTGAGGATTTCTCTCATGCGATACAAAATGCTCATAAAAACACATTAGTGATGCAGAGCATTGGACAAAGTGCCACAGACGGTTGAGAACGACGCTGTGCCTCTCTGACCTTCACACAGCTGGTCGATCACAGCGTGAAGAGGCTGTGAATTGTCTGTTTCAAAAAGTTACAGATAATATGGGACACAGACACCCCCTATCTGATGTTGGCCTCTGACCATCCCTGACCGTCTGACATGCAGTTTGGACAGACCATAAATCCTCTTAAATCTCTGCGGGACTGGTTTTGCTCGTTCAAAACAAGCTGGTAAGATATATCATCTGAGCATGTCAGCAATCCAAAGTGCTCACTTGTCTATAGCCACTCCTGAAGGGGGGGGCATGAGAAAACAGCTGTGTCTGTGAGGGGAGACACGTTATCATTTCAACATGTGGATAGGTGCACTTATTTTAGATTGTATGTCCTGGGAGACATTCATAGTGTTGGCCTCAGTTGTTCATGAAGAAAGTGGTTTAGAGCAAGAAATTCAAACCCTCTCTGAACTACAGCTGACTTTAGCAGCCTGCTCTATTCATTTACATGAGGCCAGTCAGAAAACACAACAGGGGTGCCGATGCAGAAGACAAGGTGCTGAATAGGTGAGGACGCAGGAGAACACTTTGAAGGAGAACACTGCACACTGAAGACACTCTCTTCTTGTAATAACATATCCACTGTGTAAAGTTTTGCAGACTTCTGAAGTGCCTTGTGGTATCATGTTGTGTTTGACATCTTTCGCTTCTTGTTGATTTTGAAAGCATGAAGAACTATATATAGAAGTTTTCACACTCAGGTAACACCACGGCCAATGTGAGCTAAACCTGGTTCAAGCTGATACAACAGCATTCCTCACAGATAACGTAACACACCTGAAAATAGAACACAGAGTTCATTATCTTTGGTGCTCGTAGAAATAATAAAGTGTATTTTTTCTGTGACACACTGCTGGTTTCACACGCACTGTTTTACACAACAATTAAAGTAGGTCACCTAAAAACTCTGGTGGTCTCCTCTGAAACTTGCCAGCAGCTCATGAATAGCAACAATAGATCAGCTCCACCCTCAGGCCTCCGACTATTGAACAGTCTATCACTCGCATACAGAGGAATGTGGATTGAATCAGGGAGGGGGGAAGAGGAAGGATATTAGTCTTCATTAAACATGTTTTTCCAGTTAATCTTACTAAACCTGACTCTCACTTCTGTCTGTGTGAACACTTTAGTGATTATGTGGATTCCCCCAATACTGATGACAAATGTCTTCTTCCTGTTAGAGCTATAAATGGCTGTGAGGTTAACAGGAAGTGTCAGCTTCATAAAAAGCAGTGTTGATGTCATACTGTTGATTGAAACATCTGTAGCTGTTCCGTTGAAGTTATTTATTTATTGATCTTTCAGATCTCTTAGATTTAAGTAAAACAGTTTTCATCAATAAAAATAGTCATTATCAGGGTTTCACTGTAATTTACGCTCCTCTTTCTTCTTCACTTACTTCGATCCCACGATTCATTTTGATGCAATCCAGTATGAAATGGAGAAAACAAAACACTAATATGTAAATACGTGTTAGTGTTTCAGTTAGCTGGAGTCTATCCCAGCTAACTCACGACAGGGTGCATCTTGGATACGTAGTCAGTCCATCATAGAGCCCTTAAAATTGTAAATTTACTTTAGTTTACATTTCTCATTTAAAATGTTGCCCGAAATAACCAGTTTGCTCTAACCAGATTTGGTGTTCCAGTGCAACCGTAAAGCTATTATTGACTCAACAGCAAACAACAGTCACTTGACAAAAATTCAAGACTTTGTGGTTGAACTGAGCTGAGCAGCCACAGAGCAGAAAAGAAACAACTATAGAAACAAATAACAAAAAACATTTCTATAGTATGTGCAGTCACCATTTCTTTTTCCAGTATTTGTGACACATTTTCCACTTTGAAAAATGTACACGATTCCAGTTTTTAATATAGTTTTTGTAAAAAAAAAAAAATAAAAAAATCAAAGAAATGTAACTTTTGATATTTCTTTTGTTATCACTAATGACATTGTAACTGTGGCCACAGCTGTGCTGTTTCCACAGAGGTGCAGGACTTCATGTAGAATGAGCCCACAGTGAGTAAAAATGTGGCAGAAGTAAGTAACACCCAGTAACTGCATGGGGTTCAGAGGGTTAAAGTAACTACTAAAAACCACAAAAGGTCAGGTTTTTAACTGAATAATTTTTGCCGTTGACAGTATCAGACACATTTCAAAGGATAATGTCCTTCAGCTGAACTAAAAACACACCAATTCGGTTGTCTTGGTTTTCAGCACAGTGCAATGCGGGACTCGTTGCAGCCACTCGCAGCATTGTGACAAATAGTGGCATACAGCAGCAGTCAGTCAAACTGGTTCACATTGCAGTTGTGTAACATACAGTGCAGAAGAGGACAACGGTTTGCCTTTGTCTGGCACGACAACTTCTGAATGCACAACAATCTCCCATTGAGGTGCAAGTGTCCATCTCACATAGTTGGTTGCCTGAATGCACAATGAACACACATATATGCCCACACACATGCATACAATAGACACTCCGTCTCTCACACTAAGCCGCTATGGGAAGTTGAATGTTGCAGCCTGCAGACAATTCACAGCTGGGTGATATGAGTCAACAAGCAGTTAACTCAACCTAAATTACTTAAAGATTTATTTCTCCTGTCATATATGCTTTATTGAAAAAGAAAAGTAGGGAGACATAGTTGTTACCTCTGTATAAAACAAGTTACAAAAATAGAAATGATAATAACAGAAATAATAATAATTTGAGGAAGAGCAGCAGTAAAGAAAAGTAAGTCCAGGGAGTTCCCTAAATGCAGTTGCTAGCATAGACTACAAGGCCAACAATGCCTGTAGCCGTTATCTATATGGAATTACTGACTGGTTGTCAAAGCTGATGTTCTTTTTCCCAAAAGTGTTGTGACAGTAAGGCCCAATCAGAAAACAAACATTAATGTCTGAATTTCCAAAAGTCTGTTTCTGCCCATCCAGACTAAAACACAACCCCAGAGTTTTCAAACTAAAATGGGGTGAGCAGCATTTCCAAAGCCTTTATATTAGGGGTTCTACAACTATATGTATATGTATGTGTGACGCCTAACTATACTTTGTCCTGCATTAGAATAGAATAGATACTTTTTTTTATTGATTAATAATTTTATTAACTTAATTAATTAATTAAATTGACTAAAATAATTATTAGTCTTAATCTTTCAAACTGCATTTGCAATATATTTAGCACATTAAACTCGTGTCATAGATATTTTATCCTTGTCTGTCCAATTTATTAATACAGTATTTTTGCAGGTAACAGCAACAAGCTGAAGGTTAGACAGACGAATAGAGGAATACGGTGGCCACATGGGGATTCTGAGAATGAAAATATCTGACAGTTTGCACGAATTACCCAACAACTTTTCTGCAAACATTTTATGATTTAAAAAGCAGTAATAACAGCACTAATTGTTTTATGGCAGAAACCATGTTCTTGATCTACCGCTGCTCATTGAATTCTGTTGTTTGCTATTTAAACAGAAGATATACATTTTACTTTATTATATAATTTTACTTCCTGCTCAGTTTGTCTTCATAGACTGCTCATATCTCAACCATGTAAAGCTGTAAAGCATCTATTTAAAGGCAGCATGTTCACATCTGTTTATATCAGCCACAGTTAGCTTCTAGCTTTTCAAACTAAAATTAAACATGTATACGGACAGGGTGAAGGCCACCAGTTTAGTTGTTTAGCGGTCTATGTTTCTGTCTTTCTAAAAATAGAGAAAGTACTTTTCTTCACTGAGAGAATCTAATTTGTACCTTTTTATGACTGTTGTTTTTGTGTTGGCTAGGCTCTGGAGGAGGCCGCAGCCAACGCAGCAGAAGAAGAAAAAAGACGTCTCCAGACCCAAACTGAACTTCAAGACCGCTACAGGACGGACCTGGAGAGAGAAAAAATGGTACATCACCTCCTGTCATCTTCTAATGGGTCATTATGTCACAGCAAATAGTGGCGCAAGAATAACTTTCATACAGCTTTCTCTTTTGCTGTGGGGTATTAGTTATGTTGACATTTACCTACATCCGATGGTTAGAAGTGCTACAGGAAAAAGATGTTAAATCAGATAAGCAGCAGATGAGTCATTTTAATGATTTAAGTTTTTTTTTTAAGTAGCTTCCTTGGTTTGAGTTCTTACTACGTATGTAATAATACAGTTTGGGGTGAACCAGTATGTCTCTGTGGCTCAGCTAATACAAGCAGGATTTGCTGTCTGATTCTAAATGGAAACACATACTTACAAGCTGAGTTTGGTAAATGCAATGATCAAAAAGGGCTCCATATGCTGTGCTTCGCTGCAGCTAATGATAACATCCTGACATGCTCAGTGCACAGGATGGTTGTGGTATTGGCACGTTGATATTTATCAACCATCACTGACTTTCATGCTTGTTTTCTTTTATGACATTCCACCGGCAGGTTTGAAAGACGTTATCTTTGATAAAGAACTAGCAAAGCTGCTCATCTGTGATTGGCAGCTCTTTTGGAAGAATTACCTACAGCAAAGCTTAAAATCACTTTAGTCTGTCTCGCATTTCAACATCTGCCACAGGAAGCTGTTTCCAGATTATGTAAAAATCAAAAGTTCTGCACTCCTCAGGGCATCTGTGATGCCATTAGTAACATATCTACAACCACCAGTCACGTGAAAAAGAAATCTGAAATTTGAACTGCAGGCTTGTTAACAATCTTATAGTGTACAAAAGATAGTTAAGGGGTTGTGTTGTTTCCATAGAACTGCAGGACTTTATTCTGTAGTGAAAAAAAACAAAACAGCCTTCAATTATTCACCACAGAGCTGGTAGTTTGGTAATTCTTACAACATATAACACATAGTCATTCAACAGTAAACACTGACAACCAGAGTAAAGGCTAAACTGGCATGAGGCAGTCTCACAAAATCACACAATCGCACATCAACACATTACACACGGGACTCCATAAATAAAAATTTTCATCAGGAGCATTGATGCTGAATTTCAGATGAAGAGTATTTCTGAATGTCCTCTTTCCAAAGGTACGACAGCAGATGGAGGAGCAGGTGGCCCAGAAGTCCACCGAGCTAGAGCAGTACCTGCAGAGGGTCCGCGAGCTGGAGGACATGTATCATCAACTGGAGGATGCTTTGGAGGATGAAAGACGCGCCAGACAGGATGAGGAAGCAGTCCGTAAGCTGCAGGCACGGTCAGTCGAAGGCTGTAGAAGGAAGAAACTTCAAAAATATTCTGTCATAGAAGTCATCAAATACTTCAACAACTGAGGAAATGTAAAAAAAAAAAAGAGGTCTAAGTCAATTTGGTAATTTTACATGTGAAACTTTCTGAATTTGGTCTTTGTCTCTTCTTGAAAACTCCATTATCGATTAATCTGTCGAATGTTTATGCATCTTGTTGAATCAGTTTGTGGTGTGGTCTATAAATTAACTGAACACGATAAAAATCTTGATTTGTTTTCCAAAGCCCATGATGACATCATCAAATGTCTTGTTTGGTTCACAACCCGAGGTTATTATTATTATTATTATTATTATTATTATTATTATTATTATTATTATTAATAATAATAATAATAATAATAATAATAATGATGATATGTTTTATATAGCACTTTTTAAGGAACTAAGACGCTTTACAAAGAAAATAAAAACAAAAGACAGAAACACATTGCACAGAAGAGAATGGACAATGAAGCACTGGAGTGTGATAGTAGAGAGTATGGAGTATTCAGTTTACTGTCGCTAAAGGGGAAAGAAATCAGCAAATAGTCAAGAAGCTGTAAGAAGCTCAAATTAAAGACTTTTGACTTTTCTTTCTCAAAAAATTTGTCAAACTGATTAATGCATTTTCAAAAAAGTTGCTAAATAATTTAACAGTTGACAACTTTTCAGTTAAGTGATGAATTATTGCAGCTTCAGTTTAGAAGAAACAAAAAGTTGTGGTCTAACCTCACTTTAGAAATTGTAATCAGAGGTGCAGCCATATGCAAGTGTGCAACTGTGGGTAAACTGCTGTCATTGCAATGTTTATGCAGGTGCATTAACACTAGCAGCTAATGCTGAGAAGCTACTGGATGAGAAGCAAGACGATGTGAAGGCAGCAGAGACACTGGAGACAGAAAGCGAGGATAAAAATAAGAATATATGTACGTAGATTAGTGCCGTTTACTTGGCTGATGCACTGTTTAAGTTGTGCAGAATGTAGTGTTGCCAGTGCCAAATTTTAAACAAGCTCAACAAAGTGTACATCTGTACTACGGAGCTATGCACTGCTTGAACACTATGTTCTTCTCCTTGGAGCGTTCAGCAAAAAGAAAAAGCTAACCTGAAGAGTAAAGGTTGTGCTCTGGTGTTACAGACAGGGACACAAAAAGCTGTGGACACCATGGGGACATAGTAACTGTCATCACACTACTCTCAAGTTGGTTTGGAGTGCACGCTCCATACATGCACAGTAAACTGATGTCTGTGTATTTCAGTCCATCTAGAGTTTGTAGCGTAGCAGCAGTTTGGTCACAAACAGTGGAGGGTCAGCATATACCCTCTGATGACAACATTTGTGTCCCTTGGATCCCAGCAGACCTTTGTGTACCGGCCTGAGAAAGCTGAGTTTTGTGCCAAATCCAGCACAGCATATTAAATCAGAAGAATCTCTAAAGGGCAAGCAGGCGACTGATTAATCGTCAATATGGATTTTAATCTTACCCACCGGTTTCCTGTTGCACTTGTGTGTTTCGCAAAAGTAATATTATCATAAACTCCATATAAATTCTGTCTTTTATTTTATGTCACCAAATGTTGTACTTATGCTGCCAAATTTTAATGAAGCAGCTGTTTAACAAGAAACCACGTCTGCTCCTCTTTTCCTTTTTTTTTATGAGAGCCAGACATTCAGCTTCTACTTGCCACACTACATCACATTTCCTTCCTTGTCCTTCCTTCCTCTCTGCTGACATTAACTTTCCACCTTATGTTTGACTGACCAATAAAGAGTGTGTCAGCATGTGGCTTTAAGTTAAATCAGTTCATTTAAAGGACAACAATCAGTCCTTTCTTGTTAGGTACAGCGGGCTATTTAGTAGTTCACTCATCCAAATGGTTCACTCTACAGCTTTTCAGTCTTCTACCACATTAGATTAGACTTCATGTAAAGTTGACAGTGTTTTAAAAGCAGATTTTAATGCTTGAGGTTAAGTTAAGTTGCAAGTGGTTACTTTTGGTTTTGTTCTGAATGGCTAAATAACTATAGATTACCCAAATTAAGTATAAAATGTTGTCTAACAGTGGGAGTGGAAGTGCGTATACTGAACAACAATGACTCCTCAGTTAGGAAAGACATTCAGGACTTCTGACAAAGATTTAGACAGAGGCGACTCACAGTAACAAGGCAGTCAGGCTGTGAACTGAGTCAACCTGACCTTTGTTTTTGTCAGTGGCACTACATAGTTTGTGATATTCAAGCATGCAGTGTGTTTGCCCCCTTTTTTTTTTTTTTAAATTTTTTTTACTGATGTTTAAATTTTCTTCTGTATGGAAGCAAACCAAACAAATTAAATATTTACTTAAATTTTGTTGTTGTTAACAACATGATAGTCATACATTTAGTTTCATGTATCTTCCTTGTGAGGCTGACTTGCGGATAAACTCAACATGCCACAATTTAAAGTAAGTTCTGTCAAATGTATAGACAGTGTAAATGCAATTCATTCAAATGTTTTATCTACTCTTCTATTTACTTTTAATCCATTTTGTAACTGCACTGTAGCACCACCTGCTGAAAAGCTGATGTGCCACAACCACCTCTGATCCACTGATGTATACATTCATTATAATACTTGGACAAAGGAAAGATTTCTCACATTGTCTCTTACAAATTGTAGATTTATATATTACGGTTGACATTAGTTGCTCGTCTCCAGGTTGCAGAAATATTAAAATGTACAGTATACAAAATATATGGATTGGTGAGAATTGCACGGTTGGCAAATAATTTCCTTAAGTAGAATAAATGTAGGTTTCTTTCAGATGAAAAGGAGGGAAAAGTCAATGCCTGCTGCTGAGCTTAGATCACTATCTGACCCTCCAGTGTCAGACCCACACCAGCTGAAAATGAACAGCCTGCTTGTGGTAAACAGTATATATAGCATACAGAATGACATGTCGTATTCATTTGTATGTGTGTGGACCAGGTTACTCGAGGAGGAGGCCATGAAGAGGGCAGAGCTGGAGCAGATCCACCTGCGGCAGCAGATGGCCATCTCAGAAACAGAGGCTGAAAAACAGGAGCTGGAGAGGGAACGTCTGGCTAAAGAGAGCGCCCTGGAGCATGCAATGAAACAGCTGGAGCAGCTGGAGCAAGAGAGGCAAGGGGCGCTGGAGCAGTACCAGGTCAGCTGACAGCAACAGACTTGCTTTTTATAGATTTATAGTTTTTAGTCGTATTAATCAGTATGCAACACAAGAGTTCTGTTGAAACTCTCAACCTCTGTGGACTCCTCATTGGAACAGGGCTGGCAACCTGCGTGGTGGAGCTGCAAATATTATTTCTGTCTATCAATAATTTGAAGTGAAAGAATATTCAAAATGATGAGGAAATGTTAATCTCCAAAGTTTTTGGATGCTGGAGGGCACCAAAAATACAACCTTGAACTTGGGAAGCCCTTTTAATTGTTCAATATCGCCATAAATATAACTCCCACTGCTACAAAAATTTGGTAACAAGACTGTTGGACTAGTAGAGGACACATTTTTCACCATTGGCCCTAGAAAATGGAAAAAAAAAAGTAGAGCTGGTATGTGGGGCCCCAGAAGTTCCTGTATTTTGAAGTCTCTAACATCAGTAGAATTTGATTAGCTTAAGTAGGAAAGTGTTAAAAAAAAAAAAAAAATCTGCAGCATATTTCCTAAATTCTATCTGAACAAACACAGACTGACCAGTATACATATCTTTAATTACCATTCTGACTAGTAAGAGTACAATTCTGACTTGATGAATACTGTTATGGATATCTAAATTGTAATATCACTGTCTATATTTGCTGCGAAAAGAATAAAAACACAGAAAAACCATTGAAGTAGTGCTTTTCTCTGCTACCTGGTGTCAGTATAGAACTGTTGGATGGAAAGCTGCCATTTAGACAAGATTAAGTTAATACGAATAGCATGTGATTTTCTGATACAGTATACCAACAGGTGATGTTCTTAAATCTTAAATTAGGGTTCCCTAGCTGTTGTCAGATCAAAATAACCTGTTGGTGGCTGTTAAAACTGTGGTATGTGTTGTGTCTCTGTGTGTTCCATGTGTGAACCAGACGGTGATGAAGAAGCTGGAAGATGCAACCAACAACACCAAGACCTGGAAGCACAAAGTGGCTCAACATGAAGGGTTTTTACGGCTCATTCAACCAGGTAATAAGCCACGAACCGCGGTGTTGGTACTTTTGATCTTTGTGAGGACCTGTACAGTCTGTTTTTCAAAGAGCTGGCATTGAGTTTAAACCTATTTTTGTAAGAGTAGGGTTGAATTTATTTTTAAGTTCAACGGATTTTCATTGTGCTACATTATTTTCTTTTTCTATAGCTATTTATGCTTTAGCGGCCTTTGCCAGTGGGAGAGGAAAAAAAAGTATTTTAAATTTTAGGAACTAGAGTAATGTTTTACTAACAACACTCAACGTATTGACCTATCGGTGGCATCACTGAACTGTTACTGAGGTGGTAGTTACTCACACAAAGATCACACTCAAACTAAAACAGGCGTAGAGGATGTATGAGCAGGAACTAGAATGCTGTTCTCGTGAGGCACACTGTTTTTAAAGACTTTGACAACTTCTGGTTTATGGTAATATGTCAATGATTGTTACATGTTGCAAAAGACTACGTGAACTGTTGTATATATGATATACGTCTTCTTGTTTTTTAACTCATTGAACAGATGTTTTAATCACTGTACAGTAACAAGACACTACTGTCATTACGTTTTCTTTAGCACTACGCTAAAGGTGATATTAGTAAAGAAGATGCTCTTCTGTGATGCATGAAGCCTGCAAACTGAAGACCATCACATAGCATTTGCTTGAACTGTTTTATGCCCAAACCTACAATCTCCAGCAGATAAATACATTTAATGATGCCTCATCCTCCTAATTTCCCAATAGAGTTCATTAGCAAAATTAGTAGAGGGGAAACAACTTGGCCCTTGTTAGTCCCGATCATCTGTTGTCATATTTCTCCATCTAATTACATTTAACCAGCCGCCACATGACAGAGCGCAGAAAGGCTTAAGGGAGAGAACATAATAGTGACGTGGCTAAATGACAATTTTGGCTGGAAGCATAATATTAGCATCCACATCAAGTCTTTGAATTGGAAGGTAAAAGGTTGAACCACTACAAATGGCAGATTAATAATTAAACAACTGTGTGCAGAACTTTTGCCTCCCCATTCTGTCAGGAAGAGTAATCGGATAAACACTGTTGACGCGTCCTCGTTGTTGTTTCCTCGTCACCAACCAACATGCACTGGCTAAACTAATCATTGCTGGTAAACATAAAGCACGTGAACCGATGTGCAAACGTCAACAAAGAAATCCAATTTTAACAGTTCATTTATATGTTTAAGTGCTGCTCTACAGCCTGTACTTATCACCACAGCACTTAGTAGTGTTCAGCAGTGAGGTTTGGTTGCGGGGGCAACAGATCGAACTTTTCAGCTTGACATTGAGTTACTTTTACATTTCAAATTAACTGATTTAAAACTTCTTACATACACGGTGAAGAGTCTTGTATGTTTCCGTATTTTTTCTCCAGGTTCCAAAGGACAGCAGAGGATCACAAACTGGGGCCCAGCAGCCTTTTCTGATGCAGAGCTCAGTCTGAGAGAGAAGAAATGGCAGGAGATGAAGAACCAGGCGACCCAGGCTCAGTAGAACTACTGCAAGCCCTCAGCCTTCAACGCATCTCATTAAAAACAAGACAAGAGGGGGATGCTGGGATACATGGTCTGTGATGAAGCATATTCTAAGTAGTGACTGGAAGGAAACCTGCTAACTAGAGTTTTTGGTGAAATCCAAATAAGAGATAAAAAGGCATTTTATTTTTACGGGCATTAAGTAATCACTGACCTTTATTCCACGTTTGAGTCTTTAGTGTTGGTGAGTAGGAACCAGACCTGATAGAACTGGTATATTGTCAAGTCTCTTTTAATGTAGGTCACCATAGATTAGAGGAGCATTTTCACATTATGTGGATTCAGTTTACCAATGCTAGCAGGGATCCAACAGCAATGCTAAATGAACCAGTGATAGCACTAGAAAAGATGCTGGAACAATATCACCTTACGTTGATATTGCCCCTTATTCCTAAATGCCCTTGGCCTTGTACAGCTAAGCACCTTAAAATGAGTTGTAAAGCGACCAACAGAGCTCACTTGGTAAAGTTGAGTCAATCATATGGATCTCTAATCTGAACCACCACCACAGATACAGTATATATGAGCTACTGAACAGTAACTTCAGAGAGTGCATTGAGCCTCTCAATTTTTTAAAAATAGTTTAGCACTGATCCAACATTTGCCCAGTGCAAGCACACTTTATGACTCACCACTCCTAGCATAACACAATAAGGTGTAAGGCAAGTAGATAAATTAAGAAAGATCCGATCCATCTACTTTAGATTATCGCATGTCAGACAAATAGCTCGCTATTGAAGCTACCAGTCTCCTTCATACAACAATACTAGTTGCAGTTAGCATTTCATCATTTAAGAACAGTGGACACTGTCAAATCTGTAGCAGCTGACCATTGGTAAAATACAACCAAGCTAACAATAATTTAAATCTTTTGACTTCAACATGTGCAGCTGATTAAAATGTATTTCTGGTTTATTTCAACCTGGAACAACGCTGATGCAGTTATATTTGTTCCAGGCAGCTCGTTTCTGTTTACTTTTGGTCAAATTTTATGTATAGTTTAAGTTTTTGGGAAGCTGCAGGGAGGTTCTGTTAGTCACCTCTATCATTGCACCATTCACAAGCTGTTTTGTGCAACACCTGTTTTCCTTAAATCTCTACAAGGTGGAGAGTGCAAAGTTAGCGAGAGCCACTCAAATGGTAAATACATCAGGTTGAAATAAACTGGAATTATCTCTCAAGTCATGAGTGGAAAAGAGTAAAGTCGTCCTCAAATGTATTCATACCCTCCCATTAAAGAGGGAAAAAAAAACAGCTGTCACTGAAATAAGTTGAAATTGACAAAGTAATAATAAATTTTACAAAATAAATAATGAAAATCATTACATTGCTTTTGAATTGTGGTTCAACCGAAATATATATATATGAAAAAAAACAAGCAAACAAACATGATGGGACCCGCAAACTAATATTTTGTTGAACAACCCTTTGAGCCAATCACTGCAATCAAGTGTTTTCTGTCACTCTCAATCAGACTTCTGCACCTGTTGACAGGTATTTAGATTTTGGCCCACTGCTCATCAACAAAGTGCTCTAATTTGTCCGGGACAGCTTTGTTTGTTTGTTTTTTTTAAATTATTCTTTTCAACCAAAACTCAAAATCAATGTCTTATTTCACTAAATTATAATTCAGCAAATTTGTATTTACTATTACTTTTTTCAGTTTCTAGTTATTTGAGTGACTATTGTGAATTTTGCCTTTTCTTTAATGGAAGGATATGAATACATTTGAAGATGACTGTACATACACCACTAGCTTGTATCATTTTCTCCCACTTTGTCTTGACGGTCTTTTTGTATCTATGAAATGCACTACTGATGACCAGAGTCTGACCTGTCTAACAACAATTAGCTTGGGAATGTTTTCGGTTCAGGCTGCTGAAACATGAGGAGATAGTTAAGTCCTTTAAAGAAGCAAGAACTACTAAAACTGCTACATACTACATTCTGTCTTGTAATTACTTTCCTCAACCATTTTTACATGACAATATAAGAGATTTTGTACATATTTTAACAACAATTTGCTGTTTTTTTGTTACCTTAACAAAGTCGTCTTCCAAAAACACAATGAATAAAAAATCACATGTACAATTGACTAAATATTTTATCATCAAAATGCTTTGTCCTCTGTCTGATCTAGATTTTTCTGTGTCTAAATAACTGGCTCTTAAATATTTCCTGCTTATAAACACTGTCAGAAGTAGGGCAAAGTCTCACTCCGAACACAAACTGTGTTGTACTGTACCCACCAGTGCCTTTGATACTGTCATGAGTGAAAATTGTGATTTTTTTCCCCCCCTTTTTTGTTTTTATATATATGTAAAAAGCTGAAGACTGAACTATGTAATAAAACATATATGAAATAACTGCCTTACTGTATTTTGACTTGAACACTGTACCACAGTTCTAACTACAATAAATGCAAATTACAGACAAAGCATTACAGGAGGAATTCATAATGCACTGCACACAAACCAGCAGCCAAGTACACTGTACTAATGTGTGTTTGAACCCCAGTTATCACTTTGTGGTCCATCTGGAAACCAATCAACCTGAAGCGGCCACTGGAGGGGGCTACAGTGCCATAAATACTGTGTCATGGCAGACAGAGATCAGAAAACAGTATTTCTAAAACACTCATGGGGACTTCCACTTGCTGTCAAATGGCAGTAATGCATTAACCGTGGATCATCTGAGGACATAATAGGTGTAAACGGTGACCTAATTTCCATGACTTCACTGTCTAAACCTTCCAGTTTCCAAAATAAAGCCAATCAGTGTCTTTTGTCTCCTGTCTGGTTCTGCCTGACACAGACAAGATTATCAGTATTGTGCTTTTTTTATAATTATGTAACTGTAACAATGCGTAATTAAATTGTCATCTTTATTTTATAATAGTGAGCGAGGATGGACTTAGAGTAATATGTAGTATTTCAGACAGATGCTGGAAGTCCAATCAGCTGCACAGGTAGTGTGGCCATTCATATTTGGACCAACCTGGGATAAGGAATATTAAATATTGAATTTCGGAGAGTTATTCATATTGTATGCACTGCATTTCATGGCCCTTTTCAGTTTTATTATCAGCATTTTCTCCTTTCCAGACTAGGGCTGTGCAATAACCAAGTATTATTGTACATCTACCTTTAGTGGAGTCTTTCTGATTAATATGGCCTGGTATAGTTTCAGAGTTTTTTTTTACAAAGCAGATTTAAAACACTTTGAAGTTAATGCTGAACAACTGATCAGAGTTTGTGCCATCATGTGTAACTTTAGTCTAGGTTAAATGTATGCACGGTGAATGGGTAAATTTGACAACAAAGTTTTAATATGTAATTAATTTAAACAGAGTAACTGATATTCTGGTAAAACAAGTGAGGAATACATGCAGCCTTTTTCTTCAAAACCTGTTTGGTCCAGTTTTTAAAGTCTTAAAGCGTTTTCAGATGCACTGTAATCATTCTTACTCAGAAGTATTCACATAATCCCCAGCATAGCATGACAACCCTTAGTCCAGCCAATCACAAAGGCAAAAAAAACTAAAGTTAGATTCATGTTTTTAAAATTTTTTTGTACTGAACCCACTTTTTTTTAGAAAACACACCTGGACTGCTGGTCAAACTACAGCTGCACAGTATATTGTTTCAGCGCCAACACTGCGATGTGTACACGCACAATAATCACACTGCAGGAGGTGCAACGTGAAGTAAGGCCGTTTTACTGAAACACAGCGTGCTGCAACTTTTTTTTCCACTTGATATTAAAAGAAAACTCACATGGCTCTCATTTTCCATGACTAATCTACAAGAGAAGTCTGTCTGATAGAACATAATTTACTCTGATTTAAGGGTTCTTGGACAAACTGGCATTTTTTCAACTATATTTAAAATACAGAGTTTGTTGACATGCAGGCTCGACATGTGTGCTGCAACATGAACGAGGAACGGCAGAGAAAAGCTGGAAAGGAAGATTTGGTTGCAGAAAGAAACACAGCATCACTTGTTTGGAAATATTTTGGCTACAGAAAGGATGACCAAAAACAGGTACTCTGTTGGCAGAGTCCCGCAACTGTTGCCAATACACGAGGCAACACAAGTCATTTGTTTGACCATTTAAATCAGCACCACATGACAAGTGTAAAGTCAGATGTGAATGCCATCCACAACAAAAAACTTTTCTGGACGCCTTTGCCAGTGTTACACCATATAAAAAAGGTTCCAAACATCTTTTTTAAATTTCTTTTTATTTTCTATGCAGATGCATTCGAGTCATTCAAGTCATCTGGTGACAATTCCTGTAATTCTTTTATATTGTAATATATATCGCAGAAGAAATGAAATATACCAACGTCAGCCTTTTCCTATACTGTGCAACTCTCGGTTGGACATAATTATAAATGTGCGTTAGGCTCTGGGAAATTGTGAAACCGTTTCATGACATAAAAGTTTGGTTGGTTGCAGCCCAATACAAGATCACAAATCTTATGTACTGGAAAGCAAATGTATTTCAGGCTATGCAATAAAATGAGGTTTGAAAGTCAGCCCTCACGGCAGTACAACGTTAGTGAGTTAGTGTTGCTCACATTGATTTCAGGATTTAAAAAGTATTGGAAAAGTATTCTCATGACCTTCTCTTCTCATCAGTACAGTCAAGACACACTTAAACATGGTCCAGATTAAAATAAAAACTACAGCACTGGTTGTGTTACTGCTCAGATACCATCTGAGAACTGCATCTGGACAACCTGCATCATTAAAGACACTCTCACCTGGAAATGTTCCATAATAAGGGACTGAGCAGATATATTGTACTGATGCACAAAGGTTCTTCAACTCAAACTGAGTGTCATGCAACTCTTGATGTGCAGTTCAAGACATTTTTCTCCCCTGATGAGTCTAATTCTATGTCTGTGCTCAATGACTGACACTGTTAGAATAGAAAAACAGTGACTAAACATTGTGCAAAACAGAGCACCTTGTAAAATCTCCACTTTTAGATCCCCCCCTCCTCCTTGTAAGATCCCCAACTAAGCTAATTCGCTCCATCCTCTCTCTCTGTATCGTGCAACAGTCATTAATTTGAGTGAGACGGGACAGACCAAACAAACACACACACAAAATACGTTCCTAAAAATCTGTGGTCCAGATGCGCCCGGCGCATACCACAGCTGCACTAACATTGCTTTATGCAACAAGAGGTCCTGTCATTAACGTCAAGTACTGCGCCGGATGCGCTCTGTTTACCCCCTCCGCCTCCCATCACTCCCAGCCCTCCCCACAACCCCCTATAACCCCCAGCAGCGTCTGTATCCCATCATCGCTCTCTCTTTTAAACATCCTCACAATCATCAGCCTGAGGTTATGAGGCTTGTGGCACGCGTGCCGCATTCCAGGGAGGTGATGCGAAACAGAAATGCATTAAATTCCCGATCTGGAATCCATCGCAGGGGGTGTATGTGTGTGTGTGTGTGTGTGTGTGTGTGTGTGCGTGTTAACATGTGTTTGTGTGTTTGTGTACATGCGATGGCCAGTGGTTGGGGTGGTTTAAGTCGCTGTTAATGTGTCTCACTGCCCCCTTGAGTACGAGAGCATCTGAGATGTGTCTGTAGACGTCTGAGGAATTTAAAATAAATAGGGTTCGAAAGTTTTAGGAATTCTGGGTATTTACAGCGAATGGGGTTCTTGCGAAGCCCCGGGGCCTGCCGAGCAGAGGGGTACTCTTGGGACAGTAAAATAAAACGCCTGCAGAACATTTACCTTCCTTCACAGTATCGCATATGACAATTCATGGACCCCAGGGGTGTGATACGGGAGTATTAAGAGTTCAGGAAAGCATGTGGTGAGAGAGTGGACAAAAATAGCATATCACTGGATCTTCACATTATAGATCTCTATGGAAGATTAAAAGGTCCCTGGAGAATTCCTGTAAGGGTCAACGATGCAAACAGATGTCCTCCTCCGCCTCATAAAAATGAAAAACACTGAAAGTGGGTCCAGAGAGTGAGGAATTAACAGCAGCATTCCACTTCACAACAACTACAATGACTATTACTGTAAAGACTGCCTTTGCCTCACCAGTGGAATTTCACCTTCAACCTCATTTCACCTGCATGTCATCCTTCTTGTCCACCAGCACATGTTTCTCCGCATCGCCCTCCTGACATTTCACAACATCATATTAGAGGTGGATTTGTGTAATGTGGGACTCACACCAACGACCGAAGGTTTTAGTTTAGAGATTTCGTGAGGTTCAAGGGTGCAAGGAGACGG